AATTGAATCGGACCATGTCCAATCCTAATGAAATGTGTAATTTTTCTGATGAAAACATTTTCGATTTGAAGTGTCAAATCTTGACCATAACAGATTTATTTAGCCCTCATTTGATTCCTATTTTTCTAAGAATGAGAATGAAAAATATAGTCGTTACGGGACTTGCACAAGAGATAGAAAGTCAAATATAGTAACTTGATGTGATAGATAATGATCATATTTTTCATTAGGCGTGGGCGTCGGGTGGGTCGGTTCGGGTATTTCAATATCCGGAACCACTCATTATATTTCAAGTATTTCGTAAATAGATCTACTCGGTTCCACGTAATTATTGGACCCAAACCCAAACCATCGGTTTCGGTTTGGATTCGGTTCTACCTATAACATTTTTTTGAATACACATTTAGTAAATCCAATCATGTAATTAGACAAATTATTCATAAACTATCCATCAGGTCATATATTTAGTAACTAACATTAATGGACTAATCATCCGAGACATAAACAGAGCCTTAACGAATTATAAGTTACACAAAAAATTAATAAAATCAGCCTTAAAAGACCATTAAAAACTAGTCATACTTTAAATGAACTTTAATAGGAGTATAAAACCAGCATAAAGAGCCAAGAAGAAATGGCAACCTAAAAAATCGAGTTTCTTGAAGTAATTATATCAATACCCAAGAAAAATTCAAATAAAGACTTGAAGATAACATAATAGGGGAAAATAAGTATGTATTGCAAGAGTTATAAAAATTACTTGTGGTGTTGGTGCAATAGACGAAGCTATTGTGGCAAAAGTAATGTTGACGAGAAGGAAATGTAAAGAGGGGATTGGGAAAGAAGGGCGGCAAGGGATTCTAATGATTGAAAGAGGAAAAATGTGGTATTGTCTTTACTTGTTTGGCATTGGGTTATACTTAAATTGCTTTTGGGCAAAATATATATATTATGGATATTTTTCTTTGGGCTGAATTGAGTAGCCTATTTAGTGTTTAAATTATAAATATTAAAATTTGTAATTTTTTTATGCAATCCAGTAATTATTAAAAATAAAAAATTATAAAAATATCGGTTCCATTTGGTTACCCCTCAGTTCCAATTCAAGAACCAAGAATTGAATCGGACCCACTAAGTTCTCGATTTTCGATTTCGATTCCTATTTTTTTCTTTCGAGAACTGAACTGAAACCGGGCCTAGGGTTCCAATTCAAGAACCAAGAATCGAACAAGATCCACTCAGTTCTCGATTTTCGATTTCGGTTCCTATTTATTTCTTTCGAGAACCGAATCGGAAACTCCGGTTTCGGTTCGGGAGATTTGGTTCTGGTTAAAATGCCCACCCCTATTTTTCATTTTTGTAGCCAAAGAATGAAAATCTAACTGAGCTTAGTAAATAATAAGCGGCTATAGAGACATCTTCGATCCCCCCATTAAAAAAACTCGGTTGGAGGAGTTTGTACAATCATACTTTTCACATTTAATCTGGACACTAAGTCGGATCAAGAGGAGGATCAATGGGTTAGTGGCAACCCGGTAGTTAAATTGAAAAGTTACAAAATTGATTGCAAACGTGAGTCGATAAATTAATCTAGAGTTCGTTTCGTAAGACTTTTGAAAAGTTAAAAATTGGTTTTAAAATTAAAAAGTTGATTTTGAACATGTTTGGATAATTTTATGAAAGTGGTTTGTCAGGTTAAAAGAATTTTTAGACAAAGCTAATCTAATGGCCATTTGACAAAACTTATGTTTCCTCTAGAAGAGTTTCAGTGAAGACTATCTCAGATTGACTTCTTTTAAAAATTGTGAAATGAATATATAAAAATAGTACAGATGTATAGATATATAAAAATGATGTGAATATATATATATATATATATATATATATATGACAAGGATGTATGGGGGTTGTGTAGATTTTTATTTTTTAACAGATAAGGTTGGGGGGCTGAACCGGTAAGATTTCAATGGTCAATTTCTTTCTTTCTTTCTTTTTTTTTTTTTGGTCCAAAATGGTGCAAAATCTTATCAACTCAGCATTTTGTAACCCCATATTTTAAAGCAGCTTGTACGAGTAACATTTTTCATGAATTTAGTAAGGACTGAAATACTTCAGATATGACCTCCCGACTTTTTTTGGGTGGAATACAACGTCTTTTGCTACTCGGACAAACTTGAAAAAAAAAGAGGTTGGGGCTTCTTCCCCTGTTTTACCTTCAACATGTGAATTAGTGATTATTTGTAAATGAACTATTTAAAAAATAGTAAGAGTATGCTTGAAAAAGTATGTTTTTGGGAAAGAAAAGTCCCCATATTCGGCATGCTTATAAGGTATTTATAGGTGATTGACATCATGTAATTGCTAGGCGATTATCGTTCACGTGTAATGCAGCACGCCCACTCACCAGACGGTTTTCACCCACTTACTAAGTGGTTAACCTCCATCTACAAATTAAATAATGAACTTAGTGATAATCGTCGAACTTTCAATCAATTGCAAGGATGTCGGATAGTAGTGGTCAATCTAGAGTAGCGATAGTTCAGCTATCATAGCATTAGTCAAACAAGCATAGTGACGATCAAGCTAGCATAACAACAATCACCCTATTATAGCAGAAATCACCTGACATAAAGTTCATTATTTGAACCATATAACATCACTAAATATTGGAATGTGATGTGAATAAAAATCACACACACGCGCGCGCAGTCAAACAAGCATAGTGACGATCAAGCTAGCATAACAACAATCACCCTATTATAGCAGAAATCACCTGACATAAAGTTCATTATTTGAACCATATAACATCACTAAATATTGGAATGTGATGTGAATAAAAATCACACACACGCGCGCGCGCGCGTGTGTGTATATATATATATATATGTTGAGAAATTTCTTTGTTTCTCAGTATAATCAGAATATAGAAGAACTTATAGATCCTGAACAAGATTATAATAGATTTCAAACTCATGGTCTACAATTACTTAATCCAAAAAATTTATATAATAGGTGAATTTTTGAATCAAGAACCCAATTTTTTAGACATACTAGAGAAGTATCAATTCAATGTTTAGATGGTCAAGTAAGACAATTATCATTAATATCAGAAGAATCTAAAAAAGAATTAAGAAAAAAGAATTTTAGATTTATGCATTTAGGATTAATAGTAATAGAAATTAAAGGATTAATGAGAAAAAATTTAGGAAATAAAGTTTTATTAAATATTTATGATAAAAGAATTCAAAATATAGAAAAAAGTATGATAGCTAGTACAGAGGTAGACATGAATGACAATAATGGGATTATATATTGTAATCCAGACTTTTTTATTAAAAAGAATGTGAGTGCAATAGAGAAAGAGAAGGTCAATTAATAGAAAAAGAAGAATTAGAAATTTTTTTAGAAGAATATTATGAAAACTTTAAGGAAGAAAAAGAAATATGTTTAGATTTTGTTGAAATTGAAAAAATATATAATTTGTTAGTAACAGAACAAGATATAGAAAACATGATTAGTNATGATAAGAGCATGTCTTAACTCCAAGTTAAAGTTTAAACTGTTTTTAAAATAAGCCCTGAGTGACCCTTCAAAGCGTAAAGGTCTAGTGGAAAGGCTAGTGAAACGCATAGAAAGGGGAAAAGGATCACTGTTTTAAGAATTTTTGTCAAGGGAGTGCCAGTGGTGTCTTTGCAAGAATGGAGTTAGGCCCAAGTTCATATATCTCAGATGACATACTTTTTTAATTTCAAAAAAAAAAAAGGATATTATTTTATCAAAAGATATTTCAATTAAGAAGAGTACTGAGTAGGATTTTTGTAATTTGATTTATAACCGCCTTATAACCTTCTTATAATCCTTGAAATACTAACCTTTTTTAGGACCCCTATATATATATATATATATATATATATATATATATATATATATATATATATAAATAATGATGTAATGGCTCCCTTATCTAAATCCTAAAATAAAATTTTTAATTAGAAATGACCCGTCGGGTTAATGCATTTGGTGATCTCTTCTGGAAAATTAAAAAGTTTTTCAACTTTTTACCAAGCTGATCGCAAGCTGGTTTAATTGAGCAATCCAAAGAGAATAGTGGTAATGGTACTATCATTTGCTTATTTTCTCCCCTGTTCCTAACATGGACCTATAAATAGGGGCAAACATAGTACGGAAGTTCAGTGTGGACAAAACCAAAAAATTTTAGGGGCGAAATAAAAAAAACCTTAGGAAAAAAGATTTGAAAACCTAAAAAAATCTGGAGAAAAAACAAAAATCTGAAAATCGAGTGAGGGCTGCCGACCCCACTAGGCCTCAAGTAGGTCTCAAGTAGGTCCACCCTTGACTGTAAAACGTTACATAATTGCCCTGTCAGACCAATACAATCTATCTGCAAGTATACTTGGGCAAGAACATGTCCTAACTGATAATATATAAGCTTAAATAAGGATAAAGCTACTCAAGCACGTGAAAATAACAGGGTTTGAAAATAGGTGCTGTATGTCAACAACTGTCTAGTCCTTTTTTTTTAGATTGATCAATCAATATTTGACACGTGTCCCTTATTTTTAAACCATGTCTCCAACATTGTTTGTATAGCAAAATCCCTTAAATATTTGTGATTAGGGATGGATAATTTGTGTTATTGCCTATAACAATACGAGTATTGTTACATACTGGTTTTTTATATAAATATATGTATCCTAAATTAAGATTTTAAATGAGATGGTTCAATAATGATGTTGGCGTCATTCATTTATGAAAAATGTACAAATTCCCCAAGTCTTCCTTCTTATTAGGATCTAACCGAACAGTTCCCAAAAATAAGTTGTTCTTTGGAACTGGTACTAATATTTTGGTTAATTAGTGAAGAAACACTCCTATTTCAGTATTTCATAAATGCATATAAATAACAAGAATCAAACATGTCCAAAAGACTGAAAAGAGGCTGCAGCAGTGTTTTCAATTCTGCAGTTGAAATCCATGACTTTGAACTATTGCATTTTCATTTACAGATGATTGTTTCTTGAAACAAATAAAAATGTCACTCTCTGTATTCGCACAATAGAAATCAAACTACTTACATGTTCATCGATGGATGAGAAGAATGAACGAACAGACGATGAATTAACTTATTGAGGTCTGTACAAAGGAAAATCTTCTCCAACCAGAAGAGACCTCAAAATGGCTTCACATACTGCACTATCATAAACTAGTAAATGACCTCCATCAGGAACTTCATGATATCTAATCCAAGGTAGTTTATTCCAGACATATCTTTGTAATTGAAACGGCACGACCTTGTCCTCGTAACCTTGCCATATATGAACTGAACTTTCCATTTCAGCGTATGGATTGTGTAAATCCATGGGATCAAAGTCCCACTTTCCAAAAGCAACCATGAAATCACGGCGCAGAGAGTCGAACACGCTTCGCTCCCTTAGCTTGTTCTGTAAGATAAAATCAAGTTCACATCAAAACCTAAGATTTTAAGCCTTCTAATTGAGCCGAGATTTGTTAAAAATATCGATGAAACATTTCTGCTTTCCTCCTTTAGCCAAGAGTGGATAAAGCATGAATTATTACCTGACTGAGCAATTGGTAACCGGGTGTGTTCTTCAATACCTCCAAGTCTTTGTTACTAAAAAATGCAGGGTTTCTGTCAAGGACAGTAGATGATGGAAACAACTTCTGAGTCAGCCACCAATGTAATAATCCTGGAGCGTAGCATGCAACTATATACATCCACCGGGAAAGCCCCCTCCTATAGTCATCTTTAGTCAAATCAGCAGGAAGAGATGGCCATTTATAATTTATATATGGAACCACAAGCGAAATACCAGCAAGCCTGCACACACATAATTGCAAAGATAAATCAGCATTTTTCTAAGCCTCATTGAGACCCGAGAGGTGAAAATCTCTAACAGACCTGTTTGGTATACAATTGAGGCAACTCCAGGCGGGATAGCATCCAAGGGAGACTCCAACTACGTAGAATTTGGATCCTAACTGTAACTTATCGGCTAGTTCTTCTATGTCAAATGCCTCACTTTTTAATGATCTTTTTGGATTTGGATCACTTTCACCATATCCAGCTCGATCAAATAGCAAAAGATATATACTCAACTCATCCAAAAGTTCCTAATGACGTGAGCAACATTAGGTCATCTGATACGGTAACTTGTGCACGCTACTTAGACTTACAGCATGATTGAGGTAGAAAAAGGCATTATTCATATTTTCTGCTTCAATTTTAACTAAAATGCACAAAAGGATGCTTCTTATTGAATTAAAATACGTTTCTATAGTCATAAAAATTGCGAAGAATTTCTAAGATTTCTTGCACTCTAGCATATATCAAAAATCATGGAAACCTCCAAATTGTGGGGACAGTAAAAGAACCAATTTTGGATAATGATAAACTCAATAACTACTCAATGGAAGATCTTTGAACTTTCCATATATAGACAAAGGAACAGGCAAGAATGGCATAAACCAAGTCAGTGATACCAAATGCACATTACAGAACAAGATTTTAACCCATTTATCTCCGTCATTCTATACTATTCAATCCTTGCGACCAAACATATTACAATGATATTGTCATAAAAATATTTGGAATTTTATTATCTATACTTCTTTCACTAATACAATGGAGTCTTCATACTCCATTCTTGAAAGCAAGTTGATTTCAGATTCAACACACTTTGGATCACAAGTATGCCTCAAATTGTAAAGACTAATGAAGATGGACTGCAAAATCGACATACTTCAGATCAAAACAAAATCAATATCCAGAAGAAAGAGTAAAGTTTGTATACTTGGGTTGCCATAAAGTTCATTTCTTTGGAGCTGCCAAAGCCATGAACAACAATAACTCTGTAGTTGGACTCGTTCTTGGGGACTCCTCTCTCCCTGTAAGCCAAAAATCTTCCATCACTCAATCTGATCCTTGGAGAATTACAAACTATTTCGTCAATTTGCAGAGATCCACTATTTTCAGCACAAGGGGCAGGTCTTGTAGGCTGCTTTGACAATCCAAAACACCCCATCACCAAACCCACTACTTTCTTGAAAACCATTTCTAACAAGAAGAAAAAAAGGAAAAGAAAAATTAGAAAAGGGTTTTGAGTCATGTTCCAAAACCTATCAATTTCAAAATGGGATCTTGTTAGAATTTACCATACAGAAATGCATCCAACGAAATCTCTGTATTTTGGGCGGGTTCTTGTCCAGATTTCCTGCCCTTTTCTTTGGACTTTTAAATCGAAGTGAATTGTTTTACAGTCTGTAGATTGGCTATTGACAACTGTTTAACAGAAAGCACATGATTCTGCTTGCTCAGCACAAGTCCCGTTGCTTCATATAAATAATTCTTGTCTCTTCAATTTGTGCCTTGATTTGCTTGCAGGGGTTTTTGAAGAAAATCTCAGAATTTTTTTTGCGGCAAAACTTGCTTCAAAAGAGTGCTTTGCCAGGAATTATTTCAATTTTAAAATTCCTTTTCTTCGAATGGGCTCAGTAATTGCTTATAAAATATTTTTCAGAAATTACTTTTTTATTTTCCATGTATGCAGCCACGGATAAAATATAAAACGATGTAAAAGTAATATTACTCAAAATTTTTTCCTTGTTTGGGCTCCATTATACCAAAATTATATATTTTTTTAAATTCATTTTTAACCATATATTTTTTAATAGAATAATAATATTCGCAAGTAAAAAACTTGTTTTTTTACTTTAATACCACATTCTCCAAAAAATTATTTTTTTAAAATATATATTTTTTCAAAGTCTCATTAAACTGGAGGCTATTTTAAATTTATTAAAATATATCAAGAACAACATTGAAATGCGTACCTTTTATACTATGGCAAGCCTATTTGGGTAAATTCCTTTAAAAAATTAATTTATTGAAATTTTGCCCTTATTTGAGCTCTTTTTTCATTAAAATGTATTTTTGAACGGTGAATTTCTATTTTAATAAAATATTTTTAATAAAATAGTATTACATGTAAACTCAAAATTTTTCCTTAATTTTAATCATACATTCTTTATCAAAACACTATTACGAAATACATTTTTTGAAAAAAAAAAAAAAAGGACTCAAACAACCGATTAATAAAACAGCCAAGCTACACATACAGAAAATAAATGTACGGAACCGGTACAGAATACACACATGCAAGGTTGGATGAGTTATTTTTTGCAATATTTGAATTCACATGGGTTCGTCCCCATGTGAGTGTCTGTAAGTCTTCTGCAAATTATTTTTTTGTACAATCGACTTTTTTCTTTAATAAAATTCCCACATCCTATTTGGCCGACTTTGACAAGTTGCATATTATGACAAGAATAATCCCCATTTGGCGCCCTGGACATCCCATTTCTAGCAAAACTCATGATGACAATGGCTCTTGCCAAATAAATGAGTTGGCCTTCCTAGTACCATACTACGCTTATTTCCCACAGGATCGTGCTACATACACAGCACGGTTCACACCAACTTTCACAGCCCCCTCACATCGGGGGGGCCCGTGCACAGTAAAAAAAAATAAAAAAACAGGTGGGGCCCCCTCATTGTGAGGGGGCTGTGAAACTGAGTGTACAGCCCGAGCTGTACACTCAGTAAAACCCTTTCCCACAAGCCACTCCTATCGCAGACTTTTGATTTTTATAAGAAAAAAATTATTTATACACCATGCTAGACAGTATAGTGTACAGCCCCGCAGCTCTCTTTTTATAATGTGAAATTATACATCTTTTTTGTTTTGACGATTTCTTGACATAAAACAGAGTAAGAATATCATATGGGACAAGTTGGATCACTTGCTTTGCCTACCACTAAGCCTGGCTTATCAAGAAAACTGACTCGCCCAATTAAGTCTGACATGACTCACCCTACGAGCTCGTCCCACTAGTTATTAAGGTGGCATTTGAGTCCTTGTTGAGCTGACAACGCCACTTTCCATCCCCAGTACAAATTATATTTGGCACTTTAAACTAAAAATATTGATAGTTTTTTATGTATCATATTTAAATAATCAATTTTACTTTGTTATTTTAGCACTTTTCCATGACTATACATGAAATATATTTCACTTATAAGGAATTTGATTTCTACAAGTAATACTATTTTAGCCCCTGTTTGAGCCACATTTTTACTTCATTAAAATGAAAAATATGACCGTTATCCATCACATCAAGCCACCATTTTTGAATTTCTATTTCTGGTGTGGGGCCCATAAC